GTCATCCATGACCTTGAGAAAACATGTTTAACAGAAGAGTCTTGCTTACTCTTGAAAAAGACTAAGAATACCTGCCTCAGGACTAGTCAATCTTTATCAAGTTACACTGCTTACATGAAAAAAAGTTTAATATTACAGTGCCTACTCATTTTTCTGTTCCCTCATCTTCCCTCTTCCTTTCCTTAGGCATTGCATCATAAGGCAACTTACACACAGAACAGCTGAAATGCAGAGGATCAAGTAATCCTGCCCATATTTCAACATTTGGATCTTAACATTAATTCAAACTTCTGAAAACCTGATTCAAATATATTTTGAAGAACTGGCCAAGTCTTACGTGATTAGGGCAGCCTTCTCTTGGTATTACACATGCCTTATAAACAGTATGGGGCTGGGGAGGAATTGAAAGTTAATGCCACTTAAATACTCAAGAACAACTAATTCTTACTACCTCCCCTTACCCATGGCAGACATTTATTTGTACTCCCATTCAAAGATCTGCATGCCTACAAATGAAGTGTGTCCTCAATACCCTTTTGGGAAAGGGCATGTTGGAAGCATGAAACAGCCATTCAGCATAATACTGATGATGAGTCCTTCTTTACACACAATAAACTGCTAATCCAACATCCAATAAAGAATTAAAGAAAATAACTGCTTGCTTGGATGTTTTTTCTTTTCAGGTGAGAGAGCAATTCATTGGGGTGACAGAGGAGTTCACACTGTAAAATCCACACCAGCTATGACAACAAAAACAGACACAGTATTCCTGCTGATCTTCAGCAGTAACATTTAAACAAAGTCAGTTCTCTGACACAAAGAAACTGGAAAAATTACTGCAATACAAGATACAGTGAGACATAAAAACAGTTGCATCACTAAAATGTGAAGGATTAAGCCCAGTGTGTACAGGGACTCCATTCTTGGCAATTTTCTTGAAGATAGTCCCACAGCTGTAGAGCCCAAGCCTCACCTGGACTGCAGAGCAATGCAGTACATCTGCACCACTCCCACTAGGAGAGGGCCACAAGTGCCAACAGTCTTGGAACACTCCCCAAATCACTTCAGCAGCAAACAACTGCTGAAATATACACATCCTTGTTAACCTTGCCCTTTAACCCACCGAGTCAACAGACACTGAACTCTAGAGACTCAAGGTAGCTCCACTGACCCCCAATTTTTCCCGGAAAGCAGACACAGAAATATTCCCCAGGAGTAAGACAGAGGTTTCTAAGACTAATCTGAGGGACCCAGCAACATCATCTTTACTGAGCCTAGGAAAAAAAGTTTAACTCATTGCTTTTGGTCAACAGACACTTCTATTTCAACGCTAAAGAGCAAAGTGATTCAAACTTATTAGGTCAACACCAGAGACTGCAGAAGAAAGGCAGGAAAGAAGTGTCTGTACAAGCAAAATACCGACACCAGCCCTGCAGTTCAGTTGCCATCATGAATTAAACTATAAACTTCTTTTTTAGAGCCTCTGCTTGCCAGGTACATGCAATTATGCAAAATTAGGCTTGGGATGAAAATAAATTCTAGCAGATACACAGGTCATCTCCACAGCCACAGAAAACCAAATCCTGGTATTCATCTGCTTTGTTCTGACTTTTCACAGACATGTCACAGCTCTTGATCAGGCTTCTGAGAAGGTCCTCTACCTTATGAGAATTATTTTGAAGAAGTAAGAAGACACATGTGGTCTTTTCAGAATACAGACTGCAGAACTTCCTCCTGTTCCAAAGCAATTCACTCAGCAAAATAAGTTAAGGAAAATCCCAGCTATTTCTATCATTTTCACAAACAGGAACTTGTTACAACCACCTGCAGATGCAACAACCTCACTAGTTTCCAATTCACTTCCCCAAATGAAAGCTTGAAGATCTGTTTCTGCGTGACATCCTATAAAAAGAGCTGAATTGAGATCTGAGATCTACCCACTTTTCCCTCATCTATCATGTATTTTCACATTTGGAAGTCATGTTATTTCCCTCCTCCAAAAGCATCTCCCTGTTGATACCATCAGAGTCATTCCCACTTGAAGCTGGAAGCAGCCTTTTGCTTGGCCCACACAATTAAACCCTTGGTGAAGCCTTAACACATCTTTCAGAACAGTTCTAAGAACCAAACTCCTATGCTGTGCACAAGTATTGCCTTCCCACTTGAATTATCAGCTTATATATCCTTAATGTAGCCCATATGCCTCATTCACCCACTGCAATGGCCCTTCCCACTGCATCAAAATAAAGTTGCTAACTCCCCACTTCTTCACAGGAATAATAATTTAGCTAACAAACATTGGTTAGCTGAGGGATAGGAATCCATATAATTGTTGTGATTTTTAGACAACTTTTGGATGACAACAGTTTTGTAAGTCGAAAATAGTCAGAGCTCAACTGCCTCAGACCATCAGAGCATCCTAGATTTACATTCCTTTTCCCACCACAGGGATTGAGAAGCTCATTTAATGCCATCTGGCACTACTTCCAGCAGTTGTTAAGATTCACTAGTAGGAGATCTGGAGTTCAAGAAAATGGTAAATCCTGTTAAAGAGCATAAGATAGCAACCAAATGATACTTTAGTACTCCTTCACATGGCCAGCCTATCCAGCACTGAGAGCCCATGCCAAAAGACAGCAGCACCTACATTACACTCTGGATTTGAAAGCTATAGCAAGTACATAAAACGACACAAAAACAAACACATAGCAGCTTAGCTTTTCTACACTGAAGATATTAATTCTGTCCTTTTCTCTCTTACTTACACACCACCTTTCACCTTGTCACCTGTGATCTCCCTATAACCCTCTGGAATTATTATCTTCCATGTGAGAACATGTGAGAACAGGCATCACTGTATCCTATCCTTACAGGACTACTTAACCCATGTTAAATAGTTGATCTCTCAATTTCATTTACAAAGCCCAGTTGCTAAGCAGGGCAGTGGAAGAGAGGTTGCGTGACTTGACACCTGGCCTCTAAGACACTAAATAAAATTATGGAGTTCCCTAAGGACACAGAACCCCAATGTCAATACCAGCATTACAGCTCTTTGTAAGGCATCACTCCAACCATCACTCTCTGGAATCTCAATTTTTAATCATCTAAATCCTTCATACCTTGACATAAAACTTATTGTAAGGCACTGGGAAGTTTTACCTTTCATTCTTCACATCTTCAAATGCTACTTATCCAACTTGAAATGCACCCAGCCAATGAAACTGTGAACTGTTATTTACACCTCATAAAATAGAAAAAAAACCAGCAAGCATATGTCTTCCCAGGAAACAATAACTTCTTTTTCTCTTTTATGTGTGACATGCAGGTAGGCAAGAAATTCTGTGGTATTCTACTGGCTTCTGTTTCCAGTACACCCACTTTCTTGAATAGTAATATTAGCACCAATATCCAAACACAAATCCTTTACAGTCCTTACTATAACACTGGTAGATTACTTCTACCTCACTTTAATCCTGCCTATTCCAGACAGCACTTTTATTTATATATGTATACACACACAGAAACACAGACACATAGACATAGCGTGCTTTCAAATACATGAGCTATGCTTTTTTTAAGCTAAAGCTTCTAGTAACAGATATGGTTTATAGAGGACAATCCAGACACAGCCTAAAAAGTGTTTAAAAAGATTAAAAAGTGTTGAAAGCTGCCAAACAACAACATAGAAGAGACATCAATAACCAAGATGATTTTTTACAATATACAAGAAAACATGACAGAATACATGATATCAAGACCAATTATCTACTTAAACAACAGTTTAGACTCCAGTGAGTCTTCAATCAATGCTGCTTACATCAGCATTTCTTGGACACATGTGCAAGAGCATCTAGATATACTGAAAGACCAGCCTACTATTTGTCACTTGGAAGGTAATGACAAAGTCATTAGAAGTGAAATCTGGAGTTATTTTCCAGAAGTAATGCTACCTCCTTTTAACAAATACTGCATCATCAGAACTGTACTTACAAACACCTGCACCAGCACAACTTAGTAATGGCCAGCAGCCAAGAGACTGCCTGGTATATAACCTGCTGACCTTTACTTGAATGTACTACTTAGCATGTCCAAAAAAACGATGGGAAACCCACTTAGTTTTAGATATTAACACCTGCTGTTGATCTGCCAAGTTCAATGCTGGACAGAGATACTACTGGTAAACAAGGCCAATTCAACATCACACGACCAAATTCTTTCACCATTCTACTACTTGGTGTCTCCAAGCAGGGGCTGACAGTTGAAATAAAATCATCAGGATGAAACATGACTAGCTCATTGTTTTCCAATAAATGTTTTGCCTCAACCTTCCTTCATGCCTTAACTAGCTAATGTCAGTCCAGAATACATCAAAAATCTGAGATAAACCCAACAGCCATCTTCAATAAAACATGACACAAACTACTGGACAGCCCACAAAATTGCTGTCAGATATCTGGGACCTCAGCAACAGCCCTTAAACTCTCCAAAGGCTGTCCCAATGTACAGCACAGTGTTATCCCAGCGCCTCGCCATTTAAGCACGCCATCATCAAAACCTCTTCAGAAGTGGAGATGCAGTGCTGTGGAGATGGCCCCACTCGTGCTGGTGCTTGGCTGGCTCTGGGAATATCATTTATGTATATCTCATCCTAGCTTAATCCTGACCAAAGTAGGCAGTGACAAGCATGTGTCCATTTTGCCCTGTGATTCTCTCCCTTCTTCCCAAGCCCCTGCTCCACAAGGCGCTCTCTCCACTGTTTTCCTGGATAAAAGGCAAGAGGTCATGAGGAAGAAAAATGGCCGAAAGAGCAGTATTATGCAATAAGAGAAGAAATGCAATAATAACTCATCCTCTCCTGGAGATTTCCCATCACCCTCATGCTTTGCAAGCTGGATTAGAGCAAGCGTGACAGCCAGCCAGCTCAAAGGCCCACTAAAGTGCCCTGCGGGCAGGCTCCTCAGCCGCGGGCCTTCGCTGGGGAAACAAAAAGGGATGCTCACAGTCCAGGTGCTTTTTCTTGGGGCCCATCACTTCATGCGTGGTGGCTTTGCAGACGGCTCTGGCTACGGCCGATCCCGTAACGCTGTACTGAGCAGCTGCGATGCGATCTGTCAGCGTCTGACCCGACATCTTCGAACGGCGTGCTGGCTGCTGCCTGCTCTGCAGGGGCGAAAGACACGGCAGGGGAGGGGGAGATGCCGGGTCTGCGACCGGGGGGAGGCACGGCAGGGACGCGCACAGGCAGGGCAGGGGCTCACGCACACGGGCACTCACACAGCCCCGCCACACGCACAATGGTCCCTCGGGTAGGCAGCCCGGCCCCTCCCGAGGCGCAGCCCCCCCGCCCCGTTGTGTAAGCCTCTGCCTCGCTAGAAGCCGCCCGGGGCAGGAAGAAGGGTATTTTAGGCGTTGCGAGGAACAGATGAAGGGGAAATAATGACGGCAGCTGAAGGAGGCTGCACACAAACACGGTGCGAGCCCCGGGATGGGGGGAAGGCAGCCCTCCCGCACCTGCCTCGGCAGCGCCCGCCGCGCCAGCCGACCCGCGGAGGAGCCTCCGCCGCGCCCCGGCCCCGCCGCAGCGCCCGCGCCGCCGCCTCCCCGGTGGGAGATTATGGCACCGTTGCGCCATGTTCTGCCCTCCCGGTGCCTCCCCCACCGCCACCCCCGGCCCCGACAGGGACCCCCCCGCGCCGGGAAGCGGGGCGCCGCTGGATGCGGCGGCGCCCAGCGCCATGCAGCATCCCGGCGCGGGGAACAGCCGGACGGACCGAGCGCCAGCGGCCGACCTGTCAGCGCGTCCTTCCCTCCCGTCCTCCTGCCGCCGCTCCGGGGAGGGCACTGCCGGCCCCCGCCGCGACCGCTGCCCGGCTTTCCAGCCGGCGGCTTAATCCTCCCGCAGCCTAATCCCCGCGCTACTGCCGCAGCAGCGCCGCCCCCCAGCCCGGTGCAGAGGGCGGGACGGAGCGGAGCCGAGCGGCGCTGCCGCTGCCGCCGCAGATCGGTGGCCCGGCGCAGTCAGGTGACCCCGCTCCCCCGCCCGCATCCCGCTTCCCGGCCGTGGCGGCGGGCACGGCCGGAGCTGCTCCCACGCGGGGGCTGTCCCGGTGGGGATCCGCGACTCGGGGGAGCCGAAGCCGCTATTGCTTCCTCGGTCTGCATCGTGGTACTGTCGTGAACGCCTAAAATAGTGCCTTGAGGGATCCCCAGAGCGCGCATCAGACTAGATTTCTCCAGAATGTTGTTATGATGTTATTGTTATCAAAAACATCTGAAATACGTCCCCAGAAGGGTTTTCTCTCTGTTATCTAAGGTACCCTACGGGTCTTGGTTACAGCCCAACCACACTCGGGAGGAGACATTGCTACAATATTACTGTGTAATTGAACGCTACCGGAGTGATCCGTGGAGTATTGGGAAACGTGGCGTACATATATTACCATAAATTGGCTGAACTTAGTTTTGGAGTAAAGTGATTTAAGTGGGTGTGGTCTAAACGAAATGGCACTGGTAGCAATTACTTCGAGCTGCCGGTAGAACAAATTTCAGAAGACGATGTCAGCCCATGTTAGTAATTAGCTGGAGAAAACAGCACGTACAGACAGTATTGAAGAGTTGTGCATACCAAGTGATAATTGGGTTGTGTTGCATACAAAGACACACAGCACCATTTTTATTTGTTATACTAGGAGCAGAACAGTGACAAGGGATTGTGGTCTGTGATAGTATGAAACAGCAGCTTTTTTACTACTTCATTCTTTTATTTTTTCTTTTTATCTAACAACAGGGAGATTTTAAAATCCTAGGTAGCCTGAAAGCTTAAGAACGCTGTTAAAATAATGCTCAAAAGTTCAAGGTAGCTTTTCTGTGGGAAATCTCTTCCAAAAGAGCTGTAAAATGGTGCCTTGGACCACTGAAAACAGGTGTTCAGATTTGCACATTTTCAATATTAGTTAAATCTTTTTTGCAGAGCAGATGATAGAGATTTTTGGATTTCAAGATTCAAAGATTTTCTCAAACACAGAGTGTGACTATGGAGAGGAATTAAATTTAAAAAAAAAAAAAGTAAAGTGTACATCACTGTTAGCTATCGGCCTTAGGAGCCTGCAAACTTCGAATATTTCTGTAAGAGAGACTCTCATATTCCAATAGTGAGAATGTGTTCGTGCTTCTCAGCTCTGTTCCATATTGAGTAGCAAATAAATAAACCATGGAGTTGCGCAGAAAGATAATACTGTGCTCTTTAGCATTGCTATAGTCCATTGTTCAGGCATGGACAAATTATAGTAATACTTAGACTGTTTGTTACCACAGAAATATTAACTTCAATGCCTATGAATTTCTCATTAATGATATGATTTATGGCAGCTAGAAGCATGTCTTAGCAGAGGAACACAAACAATTTTTCCTCTGTACTTCACAATCAGTTATTGGGGTCATACTCCCAATTGATTTCAGAAGAAATAGTTGGGATCTAACAATACTTCGTGTTCCATTACTGGCATTAAGAGTGACTCTGAACTTTTCTTGGTAATACTGACAGGAGTTTAGAACGGCTTGACTTTAAAAGAGAAACTTCCTTTTAAACTGGTATATTACAGAAGGAAAAAAAAACAGGTATACAAACTGTTTTGGAATTTGATGACTCCACACAGCAGAAATTTAGAATGGTTTTATTTCCTGCAAGCAGGATACTTCTTTTCTATCCAACTTTATGCTAGCCAAAGTATTTAATTAGTGATGCAACTTTTATTAACATATAGTGTACATTGTCAGTGTGAAGGTCTGGATACTTTCTGAACTAGTCCATATTGTCATCAACAGTTGCTGTCACTGAGATTCTCATCTGTGCCACCAAAAGTAGTGATTGTTAATACTCAGCTAATTTTATATCTTCATATTGTCAAAATATTGAAGCAAAAGATAAGTCAGATAATCTGTACTATTGCCTTAAAATTTATGCAGTTTCTTAATGAAAACCTAATGTATTTTAAGAAGGTAAGACAAGATATTAGTACTTTTTAAATTCAGAGTGAAGGGATGTGATCTACTGAAGCTGTATCGCTTTTGGTTTTAAAACCAACCACCACTCCCCCAAAAATAACCCAACCCCACAAAACAGGAGTTCATGTTTGTAATGGAAGCCACCCAGGAAATAGGAACCATCTTGATTAAAGATACACCACAGGGAGAGTTGGCCAGGACTAAATAGATGGGGAGTGGGGGTTGCCATTTCACGGAGCAGTTTTAGATAAAGTCCCAAGAAGTTGCCTGGTGTGCTGGCTGTGTGAAACCCAGGCTCACAGCTTGGCTGGTGGAGGTTTAGATCAGGGCCATATAAGCAGCTGGAAAGAGTTCTTGCTGCTAAAAAGAACACAGAATCGGTGACGTCTTTCTTGACTCTTTGTAACTGTGCTTTCAACTTAATAATGAGAGCCTTAAAGAAGAGGAGATATATTAATGATAAACTGATATAATATAAATATATTTTATATTATATATAAATATATTTATATTATAAATAAGCCATTTTGAAGCAAAAAGATAATTCTTAACAGAATCTGAAATTTTTGAAAAGGAGAAAAAATAAGAAAAATGGAGTTGGTCTGTGTTAAACTCACATTCAAGCACATGTGGAGGGAAGGAAGCATGTGTCAGGGCTGATTCATCATGTCTCACACCTAAATTCTGCCCCAGAGATGCCCATCTCTTGGTTGATGTAAGGCATGTAGACTCCATTTTCATGCACTGAGGTGCACTGACCATAATTATGGTTTCTCACCATAATTATGCTATTTTTCCATTTATTTCCTAGTTTCTCTTGTCAAGTCTTCCAGTTCTTCAGCCAGTTTCCATGCCCTTTCCTCCCGCCTTCACAGGCCAGGCAGAGACTTAGACCCCAGCCTGTCTGTGCCTGAGCCTGCACCAGACCCAGTGCTGTTGTTCTGCTTCTCCCTCTTAGGGCCAGTGGTACAAACAGAGCTCCTGGAGAGGCTGGCTGTAACCATAGTGATAGCAGCAGTCCTGAACAGATCTGTTTAGCAGTGGGGAGGGGGGAAAAATATTTTTCAAAGGAGAAGTATCCTCCTTACTTTGTGTCAGGTTGATGGAGCCAGGTAGTTTGCATTATGCTTCCTCTACGATGCAACAGAAGTTGCAAAACCACAGTAGGTACTCAAATCATGCAATACTCAGGAGTTTCTGTGCTTCTGCTGTCAAATGTAACCTCATTGCTTGGTCTTGTGTGGATTCTGTCCACAACTGTTTGTTCAGCCTCTGTACTCGCCCTCCTTAATGGCATTTGTTTCAGCAGTTCCTTTGGTTGCTGTGGTATAAAGCAGCAATGAGAAATTAAAGCAGTTTGTCAATTTTCCAGTCAGAATGATGGTCGGAGAAGGATGTAGCCTGAATGTGTTTGTACATCCCAGGCAGAAGATCCATCACATTTGGAGCTACTGAATCTAAGAGAACAGCCATACACAGTGGTAAGGGTACAGGCTTGGTAGCATGAGTGTGTATTCTACATCCCATAGGAAATGCCTTTTTTGTGTCTTTGAAGAACTTGGAAAATTAAAAAGTTAATTTAGATAAGGGAGAGAATTAATAGAAAAGTTACACAAAGCATAGCTAATGAGCTCTTTTACTGCTGGTTAAGCCAGGTCATGTTCTACAGAATATGGAGTGTCTGCATATTACAGAGTTGATGGTTACAGAAAGATGGTAATTGGCATGTCCTGTACAGGTGATAAAGGTGTATTCCTTCCCCTTACCCAGCACCCTGGTTCCCACAAGGACCACCTTAAAATTAGTATCGTCTTAGAGACTTCTGTTCACTGATGCATTAGTGGACTCCATCATCCACATCACAAAGATAGCTTTTGCTGCTGGAGTAATTTTTTGGGTTATGTCTGGCAATAACACTGAGGTTAATAGACCAGAAAGGGGACAGATGGACATATGTATCAGAAATGGAGCAAAAGTCATTGTAATTGCAATTGTGAAAGTCAGTACCTGTGAAATTCCTCACTGTTTAGTATTGATTTTGGTCACTAATTTTGTAATCCTGGTAGAGCTTCCAATGAAACGTCTGGAGGTATGAAGTGAAGTGTATTTCACTTCCACACAATAGATT